ACAGTTGTCTGAAAGTACTTGACCCATAATTCAATTTCAAGTTAAACATCAAAGTTGGTTTAACCGTCTTTGAGAGAACCCTATATACCGAGGGAGATAAAGATCTCAAAAGGCACATAAATGTAGGATATCAGCACAACCACAGAGCAAATATGAAGAAAATCCATTTATTCTGGGGAATAGATGGACACACTTCAGAAAAATTGAGTCTTGCACATTTCTGTATCATTCTGTTGCTGACTATTTTAATTTTGTCTGAGATTTTGAAATTAAATATCAGTGAAATGTTGAAGATTGCTTTTTGCCTTTTTGAAGTTTGAAATATCCTTATTGTCATTCCTTTATTCAAGACAATTTTTTCAGATCATGTCATTTTATTAAAGGCAATGAAATGAAAAGGAGAAAAAACTTTTTCTTTTGATAATATTTTCAGAACCTATGTATGAGTCACTTTATGTTGAGAGTAAGAAAAAACCACCCTGACATATATAAAAACATATATAATTTGACATAAAAATATGCCTAGTGGTATCAGTTGTCAAGGGCAAGGGTTTATAGATAAAGAGATCTTAGAATATGTTTTAGAAAGTGGATGACACAGAAAATATTTGTCATTTGTTCCAGTCAATCGTTTTTCACTGACAATTGTGTACAATTGTTTTAGGCTCATGCTGCAACATGAACAGAACATCCTTTAAAAGAAAAAAAAAACAAAAGAAGAAAATAAAAAGAAGGAAGGAAGGCAGAGGGGAAGGAAATAGAGAAGACAGTGACAAACCGAAGAGGCTCAAACACATAAAGGCAAATCTGTGCTGTTTTCTGATAGAAACACTATTACATAAAGCATTAAAATACTTAAAAGCATATTTTAGTAAATGAAATCAATTAGATGTTGTGTATGTAGGCATGGGACTTAAATGTAGATGAGTATATAGTTATCGGATATACCTCAGTGTTACCTAACGAATTACCACCATTATATTCATTTAATTTTTTTCCTTAATTCATTTATTCTTCCATCTCTTCACTCATTCATTCATTTGATGATTTTTGATTTCCTAATCCTCCTAGGCATAGTTAGTAAGTTCAGTTTCTGCTTTTTTTTGGTTCCATCACATAACAGATAAGTGTGATTCTATGATGCTTTCAGAAATTTAGCCTATCCTCAGACATCACAAGATTCCATCTCAAGGACCAAAACTGTCTGAAGATTGAGGGGTGAGTATTATCCACAGAGAATGGGCCAACTTCTGCTTGAGAAGGAGACAATTTGCGGAGTGCTTTGGGTACGATTGTGCACAGAACATTTTTGCAGGAGTTAAGTCATCCTTCTACTTTATTTCTTGGTTAAGATTTAGATTCGCTCTAAATTTAGGCAATTGTGGTCCAATAATTCTGCCACAAAACACCTTTAACCCTTCCTGCTGGGGTTGCGGTGATGCACTCCATTATGACTGAGCATCAGCTCGCATCCACAGAGATGCATGTTTGAGGAATAGGTCTTGTGTCACTTAATTCTTGATAGTGAGACTGGAGCGATAGTACGTTCTGTCCTAGGCAGAATGCCTGCATCCCCAGGGTGCAAACCAAGCAGAATTGTTTTGCCTTACCACATCATCTTTTGTTTGCTTAGTTGCTTTTATTTTCTCCATCCTTTCAATAAATTCAGTATCACATTACAGCATCCTGTAACATTTTTTACTGTTCAAGGGTTTTTTTTTTTTTTTTACTTCTAACAGTGACTCACTTAATAGGGTGAAACATGATTTTGGAAATTATTGTAAGCAAAAAGCAAGTAAGGGTTATTAGAATTTATTGACAACATCCTTTAAGTGACTCATGACTTAATGCAAACAGACATGCCGTAAAATATTGTTGCCGTAAATTATCCAGATAAAGAAAGCTTGAAAATATCCCAATATTAAAAATGAACCATTAAACCTAATATTTAAATATGGAAATTAAAGAGATATACATGTCACTTGAGGAGGTTGAACGGCAAGATATCTCACACTGGCAACTTCATTTGGGTTTTCCAATGAACAGATCCAGTAAGTTGATGTTATCAGCACAGTTGAATCAGGTAGTCCTAATGCAATTGATTAGCTATTACTCACACTGACAAGATTCAGTGAATTGATTTAGTATGTGGCCAGAAAATAACCCTGGTATCTGCCACACAAGCGACGTCCTTTCTACACAGGCTACAACCATTCTACATCTGTATACTGGAGAAGTCCAATGAGATATAAAAATGTCTCTTGGTCAAAACGAATTCAAAAAAAGGAATGTGGCAGGACTGGAATATTGGCAGTCAGCCTTTGAGTGTTTAAAACACGACCAAGGTTCAAATACGGACTTTAATATTTACTAGCTATGAACTTGAGTGGGCTATTTACCTGCTGAGTGCCTCAAGTCCTCATCTGAAAAAGCAAAACCAATAGGAATATCTACTTCATGGTGTTGCTTTGAGGGTTAAATGAGTTAGTGCAGTATATGCAAATGCTTGTACCAGTTGCTGGTATATAGGAAAGGATGCATTTGCATTAGTTAACAGAGGTAGTTTAGGCTGAAATGCAGAAAACTGTGCCCACTCCCTTTTGAAGATCAAGTGCTCTGTGTTCTTTGTTACAAGGAGGTAAGGAGAAAAGGGTTCAGGAAGAGGCTAGCTATGCTTCAGGGCTAGTAGTCAAAATTCAAGAAACAAAATTTCTCTGCTCTCTGACTTCAATATTTAATTAATTTGAGGGATTGAATTGCTAATACTTCCTAATTGGGTCAACTGGACTTCACCACTGCTCCCTCAGCTCTCAGCAGAAATCATTTGTTTAAGGAGTTGTGCAAGGTGTCTTACAAATGGAGTTAGACAAGGGCCTTAGTACATTCTATAAATTGGATTCCGTATACTTGTAAATTATGCTGACAGGCACTCCTGCAACACAATGAGGTCAAAACAGTCTCAGTGAAAATGGCCTTTTCATACTGTACCCAAGCCAATGACAGGGGAAGGATTATAAGGCCACCAAGTCACATGTGTAGAAGAAAGTTACTAAATCCAACCTAAGATAATCATTTCCTTTCAGCTTATCTTAAAGGGGTTAAATGATACAAATTCTTAAAATGTATAGCAATAGGGTAGGATCTTAACCTAAGCTATGTTGAGGAAGAACCTATTATATGAAAATACACTGTGTTACATATGGTAAAGTATATGAAAATTATTAAGACATAGCTCACAATTTTAGAGGGTTTGCAGTTTAAAAGAGGTACCAATATATGCATGCAGTTAACAAAATGAAATGAAGCCGAGTATAAATACCAGGAGCCAGAAGCAAAGGCTAGTCTGGAAGAACATGGCTGGATTGGATTGGTCTGCTAAATTTAAATTCATTCGTTTAACTGCTGTTTAAGGGGTGCCTACTATGTGCCAGCTCAACAGACCCAACTCTAACTCCAAATTTCATGTCTAGTATTCAGATTACAGGGTAGAGTAGACATAGCTTCAGCTTTAGAGCTAGAAACACCTGAATCAAAACCTGCCACCCCTCCTGCAACAAACCTACCTACCTTACCTTACCAATGATGCACTGGGTGGCTTGATCAAATCATTTATCATTTATTTAATCAATATGTTAATGGTCACATTTAAAAAAAGCATCATCCTCATCTTTAGAGGAGGAAGACTCCTGTTTTCAGGAAGCCATCCTGATGTTCCAGCACAATATGATATTGAAAATACTTGGCTTTTTAGCTAGGCCAAGGTGGTCTTAGAGCTCTACACTGTACTTTATAGCAATAGAAATGTTGGTATTCGCTCTGTATACTTAATTTCTCTTAAACATATTTAAAAATACTTAAATACCTTTGAGCCACAATGGAAAACACCTGGTAGCCCTAGGCATCTCACTGCAGTTCAATTTAACTCTCCATAGACAGATCATCCTGCATCTGATTGAAAAAGATATAATGTGGACATGTTTCCCTCCCAAATGTTGTCCATTTCAGGATATCAGTGATGTCTGAGCTTCTACTTACTCTGATTTACTCAATGGAATATTTTCTGAAATATTCCATCCTTAACTATTGAATGCTTTCACAGGTAATTTAAAATCCAGACAAGAAGCCCGGACACCAGTAAAGAAATGAATCTAGGAAATCCAGAACACAGTGGAGAAAGAAAAAAAAGTCAACACCGATATTGTGTGCTTTAAGGAAAATTAACCCATTGTTCTAAATGCTAGTATTTATTAACATAAACCATTTGAGTCTGGCAGCTCATCACGGTTAGGAGTCGGAGGAAACGTCTTGGGACCGCAGTGTCTTGTATCACACAGGAAGGGAAGCTCTGTAAAGAAACTTGGGCTGTCTGTAGATCTTCAATTCGCAAGAACCCGCATAAAATAAGACAGGTACTGGCTACATTGGAGGCGCCCAGGAAGCATCTAGATGGCATATTGTGCAGCAGGGTTGATGCTGCTCCAGACTTACAGATAGGATCCAAGGCGTGGATTAGGAAGGCAAACTTGGAAGGTGCGGGCTGGCTCGCTTATGTCTCCTGACGGCTTACTCCCAGCCCCTGTGAGTTGGCACTCGGTGAGTTTTTAACTGTTCTCACTTTGCATTCGCCCATCTTGCTCCAGGCCAAACCAGATTTTTAAAAGGAGGGCCACTTCATTTCGGCGGCACACCGTTAGACCCACCCACTTGGCCCGCACTCTGACCTTCTGAGACCCTGAGCTAGTTAGTGTAGGTAAGGCGAAAAGGTGCCCTGGAGAGGCTGCGGAGGGGCGGCCGGGCCGAGCCCCTTCCCGAGCCTGTTTGTAGCTGCCAAGGAGTAGCCAACAAGCGTCAGATTTATGTGCACTTTGAAAGAAGCACCTTTACCATTGGCTTTTGGAGCGGCGCTGTCGCTAGGGAGCGTGTGGCGAGCGCAGCCTCGGGGAGAAGCCCGGGCTGTTTGTTCCAGGAATCTGGCAGAGGGGTACCCAGAGGCGGGCGCGCGCGGGCGCCTTCGCTCCCACACGTGCGGCGAGTTCGAGCCCGGCCGCCCCTGGCGGGCCGCGTGCGCCCCCCCGGCGCGGCTCTCGGAGCAGCAGCGCCGCCGCGCCTCGCCGCCCGCCCCCCGATTCCTGCTGCTGCCGCCCAGAGGAGGAGAAGAGTCGCTGCTTTCAATTTCCCCGCGGCGCCGCGCGCTGCGGAGAGCCGTGGGGGTGGGCGCCCAGACGAGAACGCGATGAATGAGTTCTCCCCTCGCCTCGGAGTTGCCTGAGTTGGCGGCGCCGCGCTTGGCTTTCCTGCTCTCAGCGCCCCAGGAGCTCGCGGCTCCCGGGGGGCACCGCCCACGCCCGCCGCCCGGGGCTGAGGTAGCGGCGCAGGCGGGAGCCGAGGCTCCGAGACCGGGGCAAAGGAGGGCTGTGCCCCACGGAGGCGCACCGCGGGGCGGTCTTTCCGCACTCTCTCCGCGGCCCCATCTGTCTCTCCATGGCGTCTCACCAGCAAACCCGGATCCAGGCTTACCTGGAGAAGAACAAGATCGGCCCGCTGTTTGAGGTAAGGCGCTGTGGAGGAAGACGGGTCCGGTTGTCTTCGGGGGAAAAGGGGGAAAAAAACCAAAACACCCCGGAGAGATAGAGCGTGGAGAACAAACGCGCGGGAGAGGGCGCCCTGTGGTCCCAGTTCCCTGGCATCCGCTCTGTCCGCGCCAGGTGTCCTGGAACGCGGCGAGGCGGGTGCCTCGCCAGACACCTGGACGCGGACAGGTGAGCTTGGGGAGGACCCAGCCTCAGTCTGGCAGGGGAAGTTTGAATCGCCGCCCGCCTGTGCTGCACCTCGTAGCCTCACGTCCAGCACCCAGACAGGTGATGCTCACGGATGTACACACTCAACTATCTTAAGCACTCACACCGTCTTCCTGGAATCCTCGCCAGCTTGCGTGCTTTTTTTTTTTTTTTTTTTTTTATTAAATGTGGGTGGTAGTATAACCCGGAAAGGTGGAGGAGGTGATTAGCAGTGGGGAGGACTATTGCTAGCTGGAGAAAAGCCGAACTGCTAAGGAAGGGGTGGGTTTATAGGTGCGGGCGTGTGCAATATAACTGGCAAACTGGGAGGTTGGCAACCACCTCTGGGCTAAAGGAGGTACCTTTCTCTTCCTAGCTGTGTTAGGGAAGAGAAATATTCTAGAAGAGTACACTCGTTCTTTGAGAAAGAGAGGGGGCAACCCTGAACTGCTTTATTTTTACACCATCAAAGAACTGATGTCAAAAATACGGTAGGAGAAGAAAAAAAAAAAAGTGAGAGAACCAAAGAAAATCAGAGCAAAAGGCAAAGGCGGAAAGCCGCACCTGCAGAGCGTCCCACCGGTTGCCAGGGCGCTGGGCAGGGGCGGGGCTTGCCGAGCTGGTGGAGGCACAGGCCCGCTGGGAGGGGCTCCCAGGAGCCCTTCCCCTTGTGGAACTGCAGTCCCGCTGCGTGTATCCGAGCGGCAGGAGTACGTGGGAGGGAGGGGGTACCCCTTGCCCCCAGATGCAGGTATGATCCTTCGCTGGCGGTGGGGAGGGTGATGAGGTTACAAATCCTCGAATGAGAAGAGGCGGAAACGCAGCAAGAGGAAGAGAATGCACTGATCCCGGGGAACGGAGCAGGTTTCGTAGGCACTGAAAAGAAGCGAATGAGATCTGCAGAAGAAGAAAAAAAAATGCTAATGCGAATTAATGCCTCTGTACCAAAAGGGAGACGACAACGCTGTGGCCCTCTGAGGAAGAAGGGGCTTCCAATAACCAAGGTTTGCAAGACCTCTTTTTTTTTTTTTCCTTTCTTTCCTGCACAACTTCAACTTTAACTGCCCTCTTGTAAGACCATTGTTTCAACTGAAGCTTGCTGTACCCAATCACAATGCCCTACAATGGTCTTGAATCCTGTTTGTACCAAGAGTTAGAAGTCCCCCCAAGAGTGACTTGGAGCTGCTGGAGCTACCTGAATTCTTTGCTTTTACTCGTACCTAATCCCATATGTATGCATATGATATATATATATGATACATAAGAATCTACTGTGAAACAGTGTATTAATGGCATCACAGGAATCACAAGAAATACACTTGGAATATATGTTTGCTGGCTGCTCTCCTGTAATATAAAGCCCAAGTAGCCAGGGAGAATAAATGAATAATTTTTAATAGAGGCAGTTCTTGTTCGTGAAATTGTTTTAAAATTCCCCTTTTCAAGTGATAATAAGAGTTTGGAATATGTGTAAATTTTCTACATAAGTAGGAAATAAACCCAGCTTGTTATTGATCAACGGCTCCCCCCTTCCTTCTTCTTGCTCACTGGTTGACTCTGCACTGAAGAAGTTTAAGTGATGTTAAATTGTTTCATGTAAGCTTTGGATCTTGCCACAAAACAAACACCACCAACCAAGCTTTATGTTTTGTGATTTATTGATTGCATATTATACAATCCCCTTTAGCTTTGATGGCAATGATTAGTAGTTAATGGTTGATGTCCCTATTTTTACAATGTAAGGGAGAAAATGGATAAATTATCTTCTAAAAGCAAGATGATACACAGATTCTTAGCAAAGTTTGGATCATGATAGAGATTAGCTATATTTCGGAGACAGGTGGACATACAACACGCCTGTCTGCTGATTCACTCCCCAAATGCCTACAATAGCTGGAACTGGACTGGGCTATGGCCAAAGCCTGTAACTAGGAACTCAGTCCAGGTCTCCCACATGGGTGGGAGGGACTCAACAACATCATCCATTAGCTGCTGCCTTCCAGGGTCTGCATTACCAGGAAGCTAGAATTAGGAGATGTGGGACTGGAACTCACAAACTCTGATATGGGATGCAGGTGTCCCAACTGGTGACATAACTGCCAGGCTAGACACCTACCCCTAGACCTTAGTTTTGAGAGTATACTTCACTTGTCACTTACCAGCTTATGCTGGAAAACCAATGAAGGAGTACTACCTGTGAAATGGACTTTGTTGATCTAACTAACATCAAAACTTCCAGGAGTTCACTCGGTAGTTCTTCTAAGAGCTGATTCAGGGGGTCGGAACAGGCATTCTGATTTTAATAAATTCAGGAATCTGTTTCCTGAATTTATTAAAGAGCAGCAAAAATGATTGTTACTCCTGGTTCACATATTAAGAAACAATCATATAAGGGTAAATCTCATTTTACCAATCATGGTTTGAAATAGGCAACTCCAAGCTTTATCACAGTGCTTTGCTTTGATTTGTTATATTGAGTAGCAGGAGTTGCTAACACAGCCTTCCTTTAGTCCTGAAACTACATAATATCTGACAGTATGTCCCCCTGGTGGATTTTGGAAATTAGGAATTTTTTTTAAGATTTTATTTATTTATTTGAGAGGTAGAGTTACAGACAGTGAGAGAGAGAGACAGAGAGAAAGGTCTTCACTCTGTTGGTTCACTCCCTAAATGGCCTCAATGGCCGGAGCTACGCTGATCTGAAGCCAGGAGCCAGGTGCTTCCTCCTGGTCTCCCATGTGGGTGCAGGGGCCCAAGCACTTTGGTCATTCTCCACTGCTTTTCCAGGCCACAGCAGAGAGCTGGACTGGAAGAGGAGCAGCCGGAACTAGAACTGGCGCCCAAATGGGATGCTGGCACTGCAGGCGGAGGATTAACCTAGTGTGCCATGGCACTGGCCCCAAGAATGTTTTAAGAAGACTTATTGGAGTGAGTGAGACACTCTAAAAAGAGCATAGGAATGTTATTTAAAACAATAGCGAAGATAACCCAGACACTGGTACTAAGAAAGCCTATATCCTATTTTTTACCTGTAGGGCTTATTTACTTAGTTTGGTTAATAAGCTTATTTGTCTATTTATGGTTTTTTTTTTTATCATTTGTGATGTTTTTGAAGTACTACAAGCACTATGGTATTCCAAAAATGACTCTAAATTGAAATTAATTTTGTTTTCTGGTGATTGATGAGCATAACTTTGTACTACCTTTAAATATTGTTGAAGATGTTTTGAAGCATTACAAAATTATGCAACAGAGCTGTTTTACTTAAATAATATGAAGATGTAAGGAGAAAATAACTTATATTCCACAAAATCTGACGCTGTGATAAGACATAGCAATCTCAACATTTTCATCACCTTATTTAGGGCAGCCAAGCAATGAGCAGCCCAGACATCTGTCTTTAAGGAGGGGTTGACATTGCCACAGTACAGGAGAACTGCATTCCTACTTTAATTTTCCCCACATCATTCCTTCCTTAACTGGCAAGTTATAAAACCGCTCAGCTCCTAGCAAAGTAGAAAATTCTACCTAGGTAAGATGCATGATACAAACACAAGTCTTGCCTCACCTCAGACCCCGAGGCCTGCCAGTTAATAGAGAAGTTGGCAGTCAGTCAGAAATTCCGAAACTGAAAAGTTATCTGGTGTGTAGGGCTTTTTTGGATTAAAGTAACCCATTTTGTCTCTATTGTAAGCAGTTCAGGTTAGTTTCTGACAGAGTATATGATGTGGAAAATAAAAATAAATTTCTTAATTTCCATGTAAAGAAGTATGCCATGTTTAGTTCTCCCATTCCCATTAAGTAGAGCAATTTAAAGATTATTGATTGCAAGGGTGCGCAGGGAGTCACATGTCTTGAATCAGGCCTGTTCACACTCACAAGTGTGTGAAATCCTAAGGTATTAAATAACATAACAATGGAGATCTTCATCAAATCACCATAGAATTTGTGCACTGAAGAAGTGGCAGACCAGACTCAAACCTAGCTCTGACTTACTCCAAGTGGAATGGAATAACTTTATCATCTTCACCATTTAGCTCAAAATATTCCAACTCACATGGTCAAAATCTGTGTAACTGATTTGGCACACACGTTGTGAGGTGGACTGCTGTCACACTCACGGCCTTCCATGAACCCACATGCGCACACCTGCCTCTGTACCTCACTCTCTTATTTGCTTTCCTACTGTGTGTTTCCCAGCCACGAGTGCAACCGGAACTCCAGTCTGCTTCCACCCCTGCAGGAGCCTGTCAGTTTACTTGCCTCCCTGAATTATGGCCTGAAAAATGTCCCCTGCCCTCATAGCAGGGCTGTGGAGATGTCCTTTGGTGTCCATCCTCTTGTGAGGTTCATAGTCCTGAGCTACTTGTTATGTCTGAAAACAAAGACTTTTTGTGATTATAAAATAAATTGAATGGATATCATTGCCAAAATTAAAAGAAAAATAAGAAAGGAAGGAGGGTGGGAAGTATCATTATGTTCTTTAAACTGTATATAGGAAATACATGAAAGCCGTTCCCTTTGTGTAAATTAATACAAAAAGCAAACAAAGACTTCATCTATTTTGGCCAAGTTCATGGTTGCATAAGGCAGTGGATTTGGAGATAAGAAGGTTACTAGTTCCTCTATGGTCAGAGGTAGAATTCCCACCTCTAAAAGTCATCTTAATGTTTAAAAAATAAATCGTCTGTAAAGATGTAATGTAACTGTAATTAAAAGATTAAGAAACTGCTCTCATGAGAAAGGTAATACAAAACAAGCTTGGCACTTACA